GAAAAATGAAAACTCACACCCACTTTATTAAGTGCCGTAATGTGCACTTCTGATAAAAGGTGTATTGTTATATTTTAAAGATTTTCAGACGATTACTGATACTTAGGTAAATCATACAATGAAATATTGCAAGACTATTTCGTTGTTCTTAGTTGAGCAAGAGCATTTGCCAAACACAATGATGAAGCTCGACCAGTATATCAAGTAAAGTGTTATTGGTATATATTGGGATCAAAAATGACTACCGGATTATGATCAGTCCTGTATAATTTATTATTCTTATTTTTTATACATATATATTTGATACCTCACTTATCGTTTATCTTAACAAACTTGTTTCAGTGCATCAAAATAACACCGCAGCGCGCCCTAATTACTTATGTGAATGACAAGTACTTCTCTGACGTGGTACTCACTGTCAGACGTAATGGCAAGAGAGGAGAGTACATAGCCAACCTGGATCTGATTGCAAAATACTCAATTGGAGATAATGTTACGGTAAAATATTTAATACTTTTTTTTAAGGGGGGAAAATCATCGAATGACTGCTCCCGCCTGGGTGAGGCGGAAGGGAGTGTCAGACTCTTACTGACTAAAAACCACCCCGTTCCTTCTCCTGCACGTCGAGCCGGAGCCCCGGTTACCCGTTAGGTTCTCCGCGACTCTGAATCGGCATCGGCCCTATTGGGCCCCATCTGTGGTGGTCTGATGGCTCTTTGAGGCGCGCGCGGAACGCGACGCGCCGTACGCTCGGGTCTGTTTCTGATCGGACGGGCAGCCACCCATGCTCGCCGTCCGCAGGCCCGCGCTTACGGTGGCCGGAGATCGTCTCGCGATCCCCGACGCCCGGTGTGTCCTTCGCGATGGCTGGGTTGCGAGGAGGCAGCGCTTCGCTGCCTCACGCGTCCCGCCTCTTCCTTAGCTAGCATAACTGCTTCGCAAAAGGAGGAGACGGCATCCCAGTCCCTCTCGCTCCGCATCATGGCCTGCACTAGGCCCGGACGCGAGAGGTCGCCATCGCCGATCACTTCCCTGAGGGCACGGCGGTGCTCAGCCCACGCAGGGCATTCCGCTACAGTGTGTTCCACCGTGTCCTCAGGGCGGTCCTCGCAGTGATGACACCCGGGCGTTTCCTCCCGCCCCATCAGACACAGGTACCTCCCGAAACTTCCATGTCCGGTGAGGACCTGCGTCAGGCGGTAGGTGAGGACGCCGTAGCGTCTCTCAAGCCACTCCTCAAAGAGGGGACTTACCGCTGCGATGGCAGCGAGCCAAATATTCAATACTAGCTTCTCCCAGCGGCTTTGCCCGCTTTCCCGGGGTTTAAAAGTAGCCTATGTATTACTTCAGATTACAATCTACCCCTGTTCCAAATTTTGACCCGGTCCCTTCAGCCGTTTTGATGTGATTGAGTAACAAACAAACAAACCTACATATTTTCACATTTATAATATAAGTTCCAGCTAATTTCAAACATCGGCATTAATCGTTAATTTCAAACATTATAACAGCATAAAGTCCACTGCGGGCAATCTACGACAAACTTATATTTGCGTTTGATACAGTAACTGTGTCTAGGGATTGAGCCGCGGAATTAAGTTTGTTTTTCGAGTGTATACTTTTTGGGGATGAAAAGTACCCAGTGTTGTGCCCAGGATATGTTGTGCGCGATTATCTCACGATAGGCTGAACCGATTTAGCGTTTTCACAAAAGTGTTTGTTATCCTTTAGAGAAGGTTTTGGTATATTAACCGTCTTTAAACTGTCAAACACCACGTCAACCACCGCCGCCTTCAATAGTTTTCTGTCGGCAGTCAAATGCTTAAAAAAGAGGGGGTTGAAGTCGGTCTTTTTAAACGTAGTTTATAAAAGGATTATCATTAAATATATCTAATTTTTTATCCAGGTAGACGTAATCTTCTACGAGTTCCTACACAATGAGTACAGACGGTCATTCATTGAATTGCACTTTAAGGCCTGCGACATGATCCTCAAAGATGCTTACTTGGGCGCGATTATACGGAAATCTGGTTTGGTAACATGTCCTATTCCTGTTGTAAGTAATTATTTCTATTTTTAAACTTCAACATTAAAGTATAAAGGAAACATCAACAATTTTCAAGGTATATGATCACGATGCTTCGCTTCAGTTCAACCGGATTGTTAGTTTGAATTTTTTTTATGGAATAGGAGGACGGATTACCTGGTGGTAAGCGATCGTCACGGCCCATGGACACCCCCAACACCAGAGGAGTCACAGGTGCGTTGCCGGCCTTTTAAAAAGGAATACGCTCCTTTTCCTTCCTTGACGGTTTGAAGGTCGTATCGGTTCGGAAATACCGCCGACGACAGACCATTCTGCAGTTTTGCTGAGCGATGCAGAAAGCTACGTGAGAAGCGCACAGTTATGGTCTGCCAACCATCTATATGGTGGGGATGTATATGCTGTCGTGAGAGTCGATGGCGAAAATATGTGACAGGTATTCCAATAAAAGCTGAGGCAGTTAGGGGGGTGCTTTGAAACTGAGGACATATGACCAACGGCAGTTTCTTAGCGGTAAACACGCAGACCTGTGTCTTAGTGGGGTTAAACAGGACCAAATTAAGTCCACCCCAATCAGAGATTTTCCCTAAAGAGGTCTCGATTTCAGACACGAGTCTGTTTCGGCTCTCCATGATGTTTTTGCAAGAAATGTTAGCGCGGCCGGTGTAGTAGGCATCGCCTGTGCTGTCATCCGCATAACAATCATTCCTGCTGATTTGCAGCATGTAGCTTAACCCAGCTTAACTGACGGACTGACTGATAGACTATTATTTATTATTTTTTTTGTATTTTGTAGTAAACGGGGTCTAGAATTGTGCCCAGTATATAACAATAGGCTCACCTCCCTATTACATAGGATTTATGTAACACCCAATTTTTACTATTTATGTTAAATATTATATATCTGTATTATTCTATGTTACCACCTAAGTAAAACATTGTGGAACGCAATAAAGAATTTGAATTTGAATTTGAAAATTGGGTGTTACATTCTACAGTGGCATTAATTGCACCTCTGCCTACTCTTTTGGGGATAAAAGGCATGATGTTATGTTATGTCACTATCTAGATCTATTGCTAATAACTTTTAAAAAACGCCTATCAATGAGGACCTATAGTCTTCTTTATGTTACAGGGCAGATTGTCTCTGAAGAATGTTACACTTGACATCGATCTCCCTTCAGTCTGGCCTTTTGAGAAAGGCAAAGGAGAAATGATTGTGACACAAACTGCCAAGGGAGAGATGATGGGTCGCGGCGAAATTGTATTGACTTTTAAACAAAAATAAAATAAATAACAAATATTTATGGATGCGTTGGAATGATGGACTTTTATTTGATTAAAAATAGGTATATGTCACGGAGGTCGGCAAGGGGTCTCGTCCCGGGACGAGCAAAGGGCTACTGGGTTTTGTAAAAAAATATCAATAGTAGCACGAAGTCTGGAAATGTGCCCGGTATATGGCAATAGGTTCACCCTATTGCATGGGCCTCATAACATAAATAGTGGAAAATTGTAACATTGTACAGTAGCATTAAGTGCCGTAATGTGCACCTCTGTCTACCTCTTCGGGGATAAAAAGCGTGATGTTATGTTATGTTATGTCGGGGAGGTGTGTAAGCAATATGTTGGTAGCAATAGAAAATCAGATTGTCGTTATAAAATGACTGTTTATTACCATAAATTCTATTTTACTTATTCACATTTTATTTATGCTAAATGAGATCAACATATTATCCTGCCAACTACTCCGAGAAACAACATATAATATGCTATTATAAGCAAATTAAGGTCTATTAACTAAAATCGCGTGTTACTCACGCGAATATACTGAAAAAAGCTCTACTAGTTTTGAACTATAGAGGGGTTCTTCCTCATGAACAGCGTACGGGGTCGCGGCGACGTCGCGCGATTTTAGTTAATTTAGTAATATGTCTCACGATAGTTATTATAAGTTAAGATCTGTTATGATTTTTTTAAGTATCCCAGCAATTCTTAGGAATCTCTCAATAGTCCTTTTATACCTTTCGGTAATCTTCTTGGCATGCACTATCACAAAACGCTACAACTCTCTAAAACTATCCTTCCTGAAGCAAAACAACTAGCAGTGGTGTTTTTATCCAAATCACATTGAAAATCAGCCATAGCATTCACAATTAACACACAAATCAAACAAAATTCTCACAAAAAGCTACATTCAACGGTTGCTCTGGGGTCATCCATAAATTACGTCACAACTTAAGGGGGAGGCAGGGATCCAAAACTTTGTGATGTCACATTTCAAAAACTATTATAATCTGCGTTAAAATACGAAATATAGGTATGTATTAATGTTTTTTATTTTGTTAAACGATTTTCGATAATTTTTTTTAAAGTAATTTAAGTGGAAATAAAAATAATAATAGTTTCTATACTGTAATTCTGCAAAATGTGACGTCACTACTATTATTATTACCTAGGTATAAAGTCCTCATCAATACAAATTAATCAAACCCAAACACAATGTAGCTGCTGTTAACCGTTGAGGAGTTCCCTCGACTGCCTATCGGCTCCATCATCAGATCAGCTCCAGACCTTTATCAGATTGTAGTGGTTTTAAATACCTAACGAAAAAATTAACAAATGCACTAGTCTCCCCTATAATTTTTAAAAGTTCCCCTCGGTTTCGTTGGGATTGCATCATCAAATCTTGACTTCATGACAATGGGACCAAATGACAAACCTACCCTTTTAAACAAAAAAAGAATTTTTGAAAAAAAAAAGATTTTTTCGAGTAACACACATAAAAAAAAATACAGTCGAATTGAGAACCACCACCTTTTTATTTGAAGTCGATTGAAAAATAAATAAATGAAAATAATACTTTCTTTTCTTTGTCTAAATCTTTATTTGAATCATTTCTTTAAGAATTTCTTCTTAATTTTCTGTCTTCCCTTTCGTGTGTGCAAATGCACCCTCATTTTAAAATGGTTATAAATGTTTCTATGCACCCTAACAGTTCATTGGTCGCTTCTCGTTTCCAGATAGTTTCAAACTTGCCCCTGTTAAAAGGCACTTGGAATGGAAAACTCCCACTCAGTGTCAAATTCGATAAAGTGGTACGACCCTGTAAAATTAAAAAAAAATGTGTAAATATTATTATGTTGGTATACTTTCTTTTCTATACATAACATAACATAACATCACGCCTTTTTATCTCCGAAGGGGTAGGCAGAGGTGCACATTTTGGCACTTAATGCCACTGTACAATGTAACACCGTGGTAACACCCACTTTTCACTATTTATGTTATGAGTCCCATGTAATAGGGGGTGAGGCTACCGGGCACATTTCAAGACTCCGTGCTACTAATGAGATTTTTAAAAACCCAGTAATAATTTGCCCGACCCTGGACTTTTTCTGTACATATATTTTCAATAGGTTTTGCCAGTAAGTTTGTCTTATATTGAACTTGAAACATAGTGAATGGAAATTGAAGGTACACTGTTTTGATGCGTACACATATCATCATCATCATAAGCAGCCACAAGCTGTCTACTACTGAACATAGGCCGCTGCTTCTCCTCCTCATTTTTGGAGAACCGACGACCGCTGGGACAGAAATATTCTCAAGTAGAAGCCACGTACTGGCAAGCGCAGCGTAGGACGTCCACCCGCATGGTGGGCAGACAACCTGAGGCCTTACGCCAGTACGAGTTTCTTTTTCGATTCGTTCGTTCTGGTTGGTTGGTTCATTAGAGCCGGCCAATCGCAGCGCTGAACGCGTACACGCGTACGATTACTTTAAACGAAAAAGAAACTCGTACTAAGGTCTCTGATTAAGGTTGCACTTCCTACCGGCCTACCTGGAAGTCATTGGAGGAAGCCTATGTTCAGCAGTGGCCAAATATACATGAAATTAATTTTGTTTCGATAAAATAAAACCTTATCTCGTGCTTGATTTATTCTTCCTTCTTTTCCATGCTTCTCGTTTCTATTGATTCCTAATCCACTTGGTTCCATTTAGTTCTCATTTTATAATCTCTCATATACCATATGGGTTAAGATACTTATGAAAGTTATACTAACCACTGGCGTAGGACATCTAGTGAGGCCGTTCTTTCGTAGTATAGGCCCAAACCATTGGTCATGTAAGACAAGTTCACACCATTTGTATTGAAACACCATCGGAGTGCGGACGTATTGGTTGTATTTACTGTTGTATTCGAACAAATTTATATGCACCTAAAAAAAAAAGGAATTATATTTTGCCATAAAATTTTAGTGTGAGAGAGCCATGCGTACCCAATACGAATGGGTTGGCTCGATCAGAGTCACACAGCCTCACAGAAAACCGACGTGAAGCAACGCTTGCGTTGTATTTCGTCGTGTGGGTGAGGTTACCGGAGGCCCAATCCCCAAACTCCTCAATCCCTCCCCTTCCCCAAACTTCTCAATCCCTGAATCCTCAACGATCCTCAAACTCCTAATCTTCAAAAGGCCGGTAACCTACTTGTAACGCCTCTTTGATCCAGGTGTCCATGGGCGACGCCGATTGCTTACCATTGAAACAAAAACAAGCTATGTCCTAAAACTTGTATTCTACGCAAACGAAGTCGCGGGCAACAGCTAGTTCTCCAAAAATTAAACCAAATTTTCACTTACCGTAACATTATTCCCAATGACGACTTTGGTATAAATATCGACGTTGACCACATACTCGCCTCTCTTGCTGGACCTGCGCACGGTGGCCGTCGCATATTTCACATAATTTTCATTCACATCTCTCACCAGAATACGTTCTGGTACAACTATGATACACTGTAAACATATTTTAGGAATTACTTTACTATTCATATTCATTTCATTTGGATATTCCAGATAGGTCCGGGTTTTTGCTTATTGCTTTATGTAGACCGCAAACTGTATTTCCTTTCCTACTCTCTGTTGAATAAGAGTCTACCAAGGGCTTCCTAGAATCTTCAGCAACTCTGTAAAGGATGCTAGTGCCAATTCCTCTGCTTGGGGATCTAAGGACCACTACTGGTTTATTCTTAATTAATTCTTTTTAACACGTTAAACGCCATGGGGTCATCGGTGACCGGCGTTAGCGGAGGATTTACCTTTAACAGTTTTTTATTGGCAGTCAAAGTCTTAAACGAGCTACTATTGTATCATTCGCTGTTGCTCCAAACCTACCCCTGTAACGTGTTTTCAAAAATGTATTTAAATCTCAACTTTAATACTTACATTGTAAGAATATAAGCAGCAGATGAAAATAAGAAACGGTATCACGGGACGCTCAAACATCGTGTCTGAACATGAACTACAGTACATCAACAATATTTATAATTATAGTATGATATACAAACTCATACATGAGTCGTCATAGATCATCAAACATGGGTATGAACGCAGTGATTGGCAGATGTAACATAATAACCCACGGAATGGACAACGGAAACCACTTAATTATGTATAAACATTTGTATTGTCATTATTATTCTGTATTCAATGAATATAAAGATTTAATATCTATATAATATGTTTTTTTTTTACTAGATAATCATTTGAAGTTAAGAACTTAATTCTGTAAAATCGATTAGGGGTCATCGTGAATTCTTCTTTTTATTCTTACCTTGAAAGGGAAATAAAAGTGCAGACAGATATTTAAACATATAGGACCTGCGTGAAGCTAATCCAGTTATTTAAGTAAAACAGTAAGTATACAGAATACAATTATCCTATATTACCTATTATTATTATTCAAACAAAATCTCAGTAGTAGCACGGAGTCTGGAATTGTGCCCGGTATATGACAATAGGCTCACTTCCTAAATATAACATAAATAGTGAAAAGTGGGTGTTACATTGTACAGTGGCATTAAGTGATGTAATGTGCACCTCTGCCTTCCCTTCGGGGGTAAATGACTATGTTATGTGTTATGTTATGTTCAAACAAAACAATATCATCAGTTTTTATATTTCAAAGATTTATTTTTTGGCACCCCGAACGCAATAGAATTGCTATCGACACGTGTTAATCACAAAAACATTTACATGGCATGGCAACCTATTATCTTCTCTCTCTTTAGAAAACCAAATAGTTTTAATGTTCACTTACAAAGCCGAGTAAAATCAACATCATCACAACAAAATGTTTAAAAAAAATACTGTCAAAGTGTACGTCTAATAAATTAAACGTCAAGTAGAGGAACTTGGAAAATAATATAAACAAACTATACTCATGATAAAGAAATAGTGATTAAAAATACGTAATAATTAACTACTGAATGTTGATGACTAAGAATAAAATTGATTTGAAAAAGTAATAGAAGCATACTCAAGAGAAGATTGCTCTCTTTTTTAATATACCAGTGATGCACTTATAACTCCACTGATGTTACGGGCGTTCACAGGCACTGTTCACTTACCACCAGGTGATCTGGCTGTTCGTTTGTCTCCTATTCTATAAAAAGAGGCAATCACTTAAGATAACCATTGGTTACAATGGCTACAAAGGCTACGAATAAAGAAATCAAGTTGGAAAGCTTTCTACAATGCATGTCGCTAAAGCGTGGCGTGGTAATTATTGCTTGCTTCGGACTTGTTTACGGCTTCATTGGAATATTCTTCTTTTTCTCAATGTGCATACATTATTCAGAATGGCAGCAGCAGTATAAAGACAAGTTAGATTTATATGTATATTTGTATTTCGTATTCTTCTCGATTATTTCCCTTTTCGTTTGTGGAATCTTCTTGTTTTGGGGTCTCGCGACTGATGAAGATATTCCTTTTCTTGTAGGTATTTCTTGCATAATAGTTCATCTATCTATACTCGGTATAGCTCTTTTAGGAATGTTTATCTACTGTTTAATCTTTCCTTCGTGTTTCCAAAAGCAAGGGCCAGAGTATGTAATTGTTTTGTGTTTAATAACTGCCTTATACTCAGTGCCTTGGGGCTACGCCATGTGGGTTATCGATACTTATAGAACTTCTATTTAATGTTCTAGTGTAAGAATTATAAACAAATATGTTAGATCAGTATTTATTTTGTTTAAAAGTTTTGTTTTATTTAATGAGTCAAAAGCAAGAGGAGTATTTTGAGAGAAGTTTTTTTTTGTATTACAAATTCACAAAAGGTAACCGAATAACATTTTGGTTAGTCAGAAAACGAATCTGGACATTTTTTGCTAAATATCTACACTAACTAACCACTAACCACAACAGTAAAGTTTAAATAATTATTCCACTCATAATATTATATCGTCGTATTACTTCCCAAATCAAAATTACGTCACAAAAGAAGAAAAGAAAATCCAATGGAAACATTGAATGTCTTCATCAACTGTTGGGACACAATTTCATAACTTTTCTGATCAATTTACCTGAATAATGTTGATGATTTGATTGTCAGACTATTCGTACGAATGGAATGGAACATGAATTCCGTGAACAAAAGTTTGTAATGAACCAATTGAGGTTGCCTCCCATTCTGTTTGTCTAGTCTCCTGAAATAGCTTCCTAATTACTTAGCTTTATGGCCTAAATTCGTGTGAATAAATGCTCTGAATATATAGTATTTATTTTTTATGCAATAAGCTGGTAAACGAGCAGACGGATCACCTGATAGTAAGCAATCAGCGCCGCCCATGGACACCCGAAACACCAGAGGCGTTACAAGTGCGTTACCGACATTTTGAAGATTAGGAATTTGAGGATTGCTAGGAATTCAGGGATCGGGGAGATTGTGGAGGTAATTGGGTCTCAGGTAACCTCACTCAAACGACGAGACAGAACGCAAGCGTTGATTCACGTCGGTTTTCTGTGACGCCGTGGTATCGCTCCGGTCGAGCCGGCTCATGGCTCTTACACATAAACTTATTTAGTCAAATAGCAGTACAGCAACCGCTGAATATTATGTCCTAGGTATTGATTACTGGCCCATGTTTTATATCGAATTGTTCGACGTATTACAATTTGTTCAGAATTTAGTGACTAACCTTAAAAACATAATGTATGTAACTGCTTAATACTTTGTGTTTATACTACTTTTGTGCTGTTACGTAATATAGATGCTATTTAAAATTCACTTTTAAAATCTATGCTTCAATAATGAATTCTGTAGTCTCTGGAGTAAAGTCGGTAGTCTTTTTGTACTTTTTTATTTTACTCGACGTCCCAGCCAAGATTCTTTTTTATTTATGCAATGTAAATTACATTAGCTTTTTCTTTTAAAGGACGTTCAGCGATTTATATATTTTTAAATAAGGAATGTTGGCTTTGTAATCATGTGTGTATTTGTTGGAAATAAGTTGATTTTGTCCGTTCAGTTTAAAGCAAATTGTGTTCGAAGATCTTATTAATGAAAGAATGAATATAGAAAGAAAGAAAAACAGTTATTTGCACTATAAAAAATTTAAACAAGAAGAATAGTTAAAACAATTAATGGTAAAAATGTGCACGGTACAAAAAAACCAAGTGCTCAGCTAAAAATGCCGTAACCCGAGTCGCTGCGCTAATTTTCACCACTAGCCCGTCACTATAATAATCTACCTCTACAATATTTAAAAATAAATCGGGTTTTCCTTCCTGATGCTATAACTCCAGAACGCACGAACTGATCTCCACAGTTTTGCATTCGTTGGAATGGTCTCGGGCTTTGTAAGGTTTATAGCAAAGAAAATTCAGTAATCACCAAACGAAATGTTACATAAAACGAAGCCATCTGGTGGCGAAACGGAGTTCGCCGGGTTTGCTAGTACAGAATAAATAATACCTATTAGTCATTATTATACAATGCGTGGCTGTACCATACAATGTAATAATCGATACCTACTTAAAACTGATGAAAAGGTAGCTACCGACTTAAATAAAAACTGTTACTATATGATGTAGAAAAAAACTTGTAGATCTGTAGTTTTCTCCCTCCCACAGAACAAATGTAGAATGATATATCGTCGGCGGTATTTCCGAACCAATATGACCTATGATCTAACCTCCAAGAAAAGATCGTATTCCTTTTTAAAAGGCCACCAACGCGCCTGTGACACCTCTGGTGTTGCGAGTGTCCATAGGCGGCGCTGATCGCTTACCATCAGGTGATCCGTCTGCTCGTTAGCGTCCTATTCCATAAAAAAAAGATAGAAACCGCAGAACGTGATACGCTCATATTCCTATAATCTTTTACAGGTCAAACGATTCGTCGGTATGGTTTTCTTTTTGCACTCAAATATTTAAATAATATAACATCACTCATTTTATCCCCGGAGGGGTTGGCAAAGGAGAACATTACTGTACAATGTAACACCAATACATTTATAACATCACGCCTTTTATCCCCGAAGGGGTAGGCAGAGGCCACTGTACAATGTAACACCCACTTTTCACCATTTATGTTATGAGTCCCATGTAATAGGGGGTGAGCCTATTGCCATATACCGGGCACAATTCCAAACTCCGTGCTACTACTGAGATTTCTTTCAAAAAGCCCAGTAATACTTTGCCCAATCCAGAAATCGAACCCGAAACCCCTTGCCCGGCAGTCGCATTTACGGCCAATGAGGCAGTCACTATTTATGTTATGAGTCCCATACCATAAATAGGGGGTAAGCCTATTGCCATAATTATATCGGGCACAATTCCAGACTCCATGCTACTACTGAGATTTCTTTCAAAAAGCCCAGTAATACTTTGCCCGATCCAGAAATCGAACCCAAAACCCCTTGCCCGGCAGTCGCACTTGCAGCCAGTCGGCCAACGAGGCAGTCGTCGTCAGCAAACATTTAAACCATATACCACAAAACTCCACCTAATTACCAAAACATAGGTACTAATTTAGCTAACAATTAAACCAGTCGTATTAGTAGGCTTAGTAACGGTATAAAACACCACTATATCTAGGGGCACAGTGAAGCCAAGCATGTAATCTATTGGCTCTTAATTTTATGCAACGCCTTGGCCGCTTGCCCAGTTCTCAAGTGATATAGTGGAGGGATATTGACCAGTTTAAGTGTTCTTACCAACCGAAACACACTGATAATAATAGATCTTCTAACTGTGAGAGGTATGTGAACTCAATTTACAGAAGTTGTTATGACAAAATTTAATGTCTTTGTTAACTAACTTGTTTCTCCTGTACCTATAATCACATGCCATTTTAGTACTATTCGGTGTTTTGTTGGTGGATTACGAAATTATAGTCGGATTTATTTTACTTGGATTTATTACAATAATGTGCAGGGCGCACGACGTGTACACACACTTAGACTATGACAGGTAGACAGCGGCGTTACTGACGTGTGTCCTACCTTATATAAGACATTATATTAAGGGGGCCACTACTTACTAATTAGTGACAGACTAAACATACATGTAACATTCGGTACTACTTACCTACTCTTTTTGAGGGGGAAATATCATCCAATGACTTCTTTCCTAGAGTGAGGTGAACGAGAGTGTCAGACTTTTACTGACTGAAAACCACCCCGTTCCTGTACCTGCTCTTCGAACCCATGAAACCGCAGACCCGGCAACCAGTTAAGTCTTCTGTGACTCCGCTAAATCTTCGCGGTTCCACTGATCAAGATCGCATAGATCATTTATGAAAATGGTGTGTAAGAGACTAGTTGGCGTATGTATACGTGGGAGTATTACTCCTATCCACAGTAAATCACTGTCTTAGAATTCGCAACTGAAACTATTAATTGCCGATACAGCAGCACATTAAGCGACATTTCAAACGAATTCTAAGACTTAATTCCTAGCCTAAACTATCAGCACAGTCTACCCAGACTCCAGACAAACAAATGACGACAAAATCCCGAAGCAAGTTATAAATTCGTCATCAAATCCTTTAACAAACGGTGTCATTGTAGAGCAAGTTTATCCGTTTGCACAACAAAGCTCAGATGGCCCGTTAAGTACCCATCAAGTAAAGCCTAAAGCATTAAAGTATCTATGGCTTATAGGCTAAAATCCTTAGCCTAGGACTAATCCATATAAATTACCCTGTCTTTGCCTAAGATTATATTTTAAAATTTCATTTAATATGTTTGAATTAATGTAACGAGCTCCGCTATATGTTTAAACTTATGAATTCAGACTTATGTTAATGAGAGTCGAAAGCCAATTTATTTTACTAATAGTATGAATAATGTAACATAATGTTACGTTTGTTTTTGTTTGTAGGTCTTTGTCATTTGAAAGAGGCCGGGCAGCAATGCTCTCTGATGAACATACTACACTGTGTGCCTGGTTTTTTTAAACAGAAAACGCTAGTAGCATATTTTTAAACCCTAATTCTCAACAAGAATACCTCAGTTTTGTCTAGTTTTGAAATCGTAGCCTGTAAGTAATTCTTAAACTATCAACACACTAGTCCGAAGTAATACAAAAATATGTAAGGCATGAACATTTTCAAAATACACATTTACATTAGCCTATTGACATATCACAATTTCCATCACCAGGATATAAATATAATAAAAAATAAAAATTTAAAGGAAAAATATTTTTGACTGCAAACCCAACAAGGCTAGACGGTTAAAATGAAATTTATTTGATAAAGTTAATCTCCCTACGTAGCAGGCAATTTGGGAAAATTTATACAAATTCAATAATTTTGATAATGTCTCCCTACTTGATGTCTGGTGGTAATATTTGCTTACCAGTATTATTAGCTATATCATACCATTTACATTTCAGTTCTAATGTCTAGCCAGGAATTATGAAATTTGAATTTGGATATGTATTTAATTACTAAGATAAGTTACATTCTTTGTTTTACAAATGTAATAAATTAAGTATCATCATCAACATCATCATTATCATCATCAACAGCTGAAAGACATCCACTGTCGGACAAAGGCCTTCTTTAGTCCTCCACGTTGAAAGACAACGCGCCACCTGCATCCACTGCGTCCCCGCAACTCTGGCGATATTATCGGTCCACCTAGCGGGAGGCCTGCCCACGCTTCGTCTTTCGGTCCGTGGTCTCCTTTACTGGTCCATCTGCCGTCAGTCCGTCGAGCGACGTGGCCTGCCCATTACCATTTCGGTCTTCAGATTTGCGAGCTATTTCGGTAACTCTAGTTCTTTGGCAAATTTTCATATTTCGGATATTGTCGCGCACCGAGCGACTTTGAGTTTCTCCACAAACCAAAACTTACTGCTTTCATAATTCTTACTGCACGGTTGGTGCGGTGGCTAGGCAACCGGCTGCCGCGCAATGTGTAGCGGAGTCGATCCCCGCACGGAGCAACTCTTTGTATGATCCACAAATTGTTGTTTCGGGTCTGGATGTGTATGTGATATATTTGTTACCGCACACACGACACAGGAGAAATTCCTAGAGTGGGCCAAAGTTAAAATATATAACATAACTTAAAATGTATAATATAACTTTTATTTCTAGCTGTAAATTGCATTAAGTCTAGTTGATACTAATTTTAGTTAACCAAAAATATTAAGAGTGAAAAAATAGGTAAAGTTAACAATAAAAAAAAAGCATTCAAAGACAAAATCTTAAATATCACAATAAGTATTAGAAATATAACACCGCTAACAATTCAAACTAAATCCCGAGATATATCAAAAGCAACGAACGATGATACAAATAATATTTTCCCCTGAAATTCCATTCTTACACGCCTCACGACAGCTAGTAAGAAAAACTTGGGATACTTGCCAAACGAATTTGAAGCTTTTGTCACTAACATTAAAGTCTTTAACGATCAACTTGACAGGGACCCAGGTGGTTGCCTCAAGCAAGAATTGAAAAATAATTCCAAACACCTTTTTCGAATACTGAAAACGTATTTTCTTTAACAAACGACATTTCAGGAATCTCTAGTTATAAAGTGATGATGGAGCCAGTGTCTTTAGAGGTTGTTTACGTGAAATAGTGTATTGACAACTTTTTTGGTTAAGGACTAAAGATTGCAGTGGCATTGGTTGAAGATTGTTTGCTAAAGACCATGGGTAGTTACATTTCAGAACATCTTAATAACTTACCCATATTCTGCAAATAAATAAACAATTTGTATTTGAATTTGAAGTAACTATTCTTACAATCGTTATTTAGAATTTTTGAGATAGAATTAAATATAGGTATCAAATTAAATGCTTAATAGAATATTTTTTTCAAAACATGTTCTCTAAGGAATCTAAAGCACAAAAGGTAAGTTTCCAAAATCAAATAAAATAAAAATTAAGTCTTTGGACTCTCCCGTATTTCTACTCAGATTTTTCACAAATTCTCCGTATCGGACTTCCAAAAGACTCCCAAAAGAACCTTTTCGAGGACTCCTTCTACCTTTATAATACACACTTAATTTGCGATTAAACTGCTTCGCCCAACTCAACAGGAAATACCTATTTTACTCGAAAAAAGGCCGTTTATCCAAGATCTTTATTCAACTTTCACACTTTATAGGAAAACGGCTCTCAGCTGTGTTTATAGTAAGCACATTTTTGTTTGCAGTGCGACTTGGTATAGTTTATTAGTGTAAGCGCTTTGTTAGCACCTATGATAGAGAGCTAATGTTAGTTGAATTTTTTATAATTATTAATTATAAAAATATGGAAAAGGAGTAATGTTTTATGCTGACTATTTATTGATTTCTTGATGTACAGAGATTATTGTATGTATATAAATCATACTGTACAGTACTGTACTGTAATAGATAACAGTAACTTCCTTATAGTTATGAGCGTTCAAATAAAAATACGTTTATAAAAATTGATTTTATTTATATTATAATATACAAGCGGTGACAGAAATAACAAAATCAATATTAAATATTGTTGTCAATATTAAATGTTTTAATTACGCATAAATTGTATGTATTGTACCTATGCGTAACTTAAGCATTTTTTACTTAAACAAATTTATTATTATTTTTACATAACATAAAGCTTATGACTACAATATTACACTCTTATACAATAAAAACATAGGTAGGTACACTAAAAAATCTTCATTTTGAAAAAAAATGTCAGATCGATATGAAACGCACAGAAACTCAGAAATGTTTTACTAAAAAGTCCTAGCTCTGTGGACGATTTTGATCACAAAAGCCCAACACACACCGATGGAAGCGCGACAAAGATGCTGAGAATAAATCAATTTAAAATAAACCTTAACTGGCATGGCATAAAATGGCATGCAAAAGATGGGAGGCACGGGGTGGGTCGTCAAGTGTGCGCTAGGGTTAAGCGATCACCTTAAGGCCTTCAAAAGTATTAATATCAAGAATTTAAAAATGCGATTTCACAAATGATAGAACTAATAATTATGACACATTTTAGCAATGCAAAAAATCGATTCTTACATTTCTCGTATGGCCTCAACGAACATTACAATCTTACAGATAATTTCTATAGTGAACATTCGCACAAAATCAGTAGTTGAGTTGAATATCAAACTTATTTATCATCTTAACCAATCACTAAACTTTGATCTTTTTGAGAGTATAGAACACTAACCTATGTATATGACGACTCTCGTACACACTAAATATCTTAGGTAATCTAGACTTCATACAAAAGTGCTCCGAAAGCGTACGTCTTGCCTGTCAATAGAGGTTTTCTTTGCTTAACAGATCCTTGTGTCCTTTGGCTAGTCATTAGAAAACTTCATACATTTTCTAAAAAAAAGATAAGTTTTTTATGGCATAAGCCGGTAAACGAGCAGACGGATCACCTGATGGTAAGCAATTGGCGTCGCACATAGATACCTGGAACACCACTGGCGTTACAAGTGCGTTACCGGCCTTTTGGGGAATTAGGAGTTTGAGGATCGTGGGGATTCAGGAATTGGGGAGATTGGGGAAGGGGAGGGCAATTGGGCCTCCGGTAACCTCACTAACACGCCGAAACAACGTTGCTTCACGTCGGTTTTCTGTGAGGTCGTGGTATCACTCCGGTGGAGCTGGCCCATTCGTGTCGAAACATGGCTCTCCCACACTTAGATAATTATAATAATAGTATAATATAAGTATTCCAGGGCCAGGCCTCGTGTCTTCAAACGACAATCTTTACAACATTTTCGTCGTAACCAAAAAAAAACACATTCTTATTCCTTTTTATTTTTCTTCCGGAACTGTTTGATTATCATGAGGTTTACAATTGAAAGCTTTCAGAATAAAGACGCCATTGTTATGTTAAGTTAGGGCAGTTCCCAGTTCACTTCGTCGTCGTATCGCTGGTGCACCTCTAGGGGCGCGAACAACTTCGTTTTTGCGATCAAACCTGGAAACAAATAATTGTATTGTCAATTTACATAAACACATGATTGTTGTTGGACGAAAAAAGGAGCACGTAGGTGCTTATAGGGAAGTATTTTTAACTTATCAAGGTATATAATATGAATCTCACTGCAATTTCGACTGAATTGTCTAAAATGATTCTAGATATCAGGCTTAAATTTTTTTTTTTTGTGGTAGTCCAGTAAAATAGCCTACGCACCAACTGATGATAAGCAATAGGCGCTGCCCATGGACACCTGAAACACCAGAGGCGTTACAAGTGCATTACGTTACCGGCCTTTTGGGAATTGGGGGACTGTGGAGAGTTCGGGGATTGGGGAGGTTGGGGAGGGGGCTAATTAAGTGTCCGATAACCTCACTCACACGACGAAACACAACGCAAGAGTTGCTTCACGTCGGTTTGATGAGGCCGTGGTCCCACTCCTGTGGAGCCGGTCCATTCATGCCGAAACATGGCTCTCCCACACCTTAATCTAAATTACTTATAATCTAGGTATCAGAAAACCCAATAACACTTTGCTTGAAACTCGAATAATAATAAGTAAGTTAAGTAAGCCTACAACCGTTTACTTTGTTCTAGAACCATCCTAAATCAAAAACATCTCGAAAAAAAATCATCGCAAACAAACTATAAGAGGAGACCACTTTTCCCGAACTTTCCAATCGTCCCGTTATCCCGTAATACCTACATCCAATTAATTAATGAATAAATCCAATGAAGGGTTGAACCGGGAAAGGGAATACTCCAATTCGCCCCTTATGTAAAACTCTTACCCGGTATCGACAAATTTAGAAAACGCTTGTAAGTAAAAGACCCACACTGTTGTTAGGGAGTATTTTCAATAGAATTAGATTTGAATTTTCTTTAAGTTACTTATTTTAACAGCAATTTTTACCTGGATATTGTGCTTAAATACTAACAAACTTAGCATAATTTAGTAATAAGGTAAGTAATTAAATTATAATTAAAACATATAAATTATAAATTTAAAAATATATTAAACGAGATAAAAATAAGTACAGATTATATAAAGCTAATTATACCTAATCAATTTTATCGTTTGGTTCCATAATTGTCCTGACCGATCCAGATTCGCCCGGGCTCCACTACCCACGGCAGATCTTATGATCTTTCTAAGAAGTCTGGATAAAATGTCGTCATTATCAAAATAAGTGGTCTATATTTAATTTTGTGAGGATATAAATAGGTCTATATTACCTATCTATTCGTATACCGTAACAAAAAACGAACTTCATGAAAGTAAAAAGTTATTTTTTTCTATATGGTTTGTAAAACAGACAAAAAATCGAAATTGCCATTAATATGTCCTTTGAGCACTTCTATTTTTTTAAATATACATTACGATAACATTATTTTAAAATATTTTAGTACAATGATATAGAGCGGCATAGACCCTTAGTAAACTCGAATATTCTAAAGCATTGTCACCCGAAGAGAAACGTTGCATCCATGATATTTCGACGTGCGGGTTTTAATCAAACCTGATTTGTTAATCAAACGATTCGTCGGGATAAAATAAATCCCTACAACGAACGGACGACCGTACAAATTGTATTAAATTTTAACAGGCTTTTAGTCGCTTGAGTTGTGTGAAATTAGAGATTATTCAGACCAATGAATTCGTGTTGAATCTGTTTCTAGAATCATCTTTCAAATAAATAATATTCTAACGGCTGTAACTGCTACCAGTAAACCATTTTCTATAAGGATGGTTCCAATATAAAATATTCGTTCAGAATATATTAAATAAATTAGCTCCTTATTTAAGGTTTTATTTCTCGAAGAATAAAACATTATAACATGTATAATGTTTTGAATTTTCTCATTGCAATGACAAAGAGCATTATTATAAACTGTATTTTATTATATTCTAGACACAACCAACATATTATTTATAGGTTCTGTACACATTTTTTATATTATAACTTCGTTCTAAATTAATGCTTGTGTAATGTCAAGTATTACGTAACATGACTCGAGTAGCCAGTAGCAGCGCGACAGTCGCCGCATCGCGGGTCGTGAAATGCTGCTCATGAATATGAGCCTCTAACATGGCTTGAAACTAGTCGCGTTCATCGTGAAATAATTACGTTATTAAGTCAAAAAACATAATAATTAATAGAATATTTCCTTTGACTTGAAATTTGACGAATTGCGGTAATACTTTTCAGCGGTATCTTCCTATAAAACGTTAAAAATTGTGGCTTTTTGCATGGTTATGTAGATATTCCAGGGTAGGTCTAACAAATGTATTCCATTGTGTATGTTTGTAGGCCTTTGAGCTGGTGTATCCTTGGCCAATGACCTTTGAGCGAAGGATACACCAAGGGACAAATCTCCTGCGACATGCGTAGCTAGTAACGTCAGATGAAGTAGTGCGACGTTGCCAGACTTTAGTCGACATGTCTGACAATGTCAACATCACTGTGACGTAAGTTGCGCGTTGTCACCGTATCACCGTATATATCAGGAGTACCAAGCACGAATAACTACCGCAATCGTAACGTAATAGTATAGAGTGCGTTCGGCGCTCTGATTGGCCGGCTTCAGTAAACCAACCAATCCGAGCGCCAAACGCGCTCGATACTATTACGTTACAATTCCGATAGTTATTCGTGCTTGGCACTCTGAGGCCTTAGTACGAGTTTGTTTTACTTTTAAAGTAATCGTAATGAGTATGCGTTCGGCGCTCTGATTGCTTGGTTCATTGGCGCCGGCCAATCAGAGCAGCGAACGCGTACTCGTTTCGAATACTTTATACGTAAATCAAACTAAGGCCTCTGGCGACATCGGTCGGCTTCGCTCGAGTATTATGTCGCCGATACATGTCTTGGAACATTTTTGTCTCCTAGTGTATTTGGCTTTATTATGCGAGGGTAAAAATATCACAAAGCCGCCCGGAATACGAGCAGATTAAATCGATTTTTTTTTAAACATAAGAAGATAGGCTTATTAAAGTACTCCAACATTCCTATTAAATTTATATTTTGACAGAGCTTACTTCGAATTTTATTCCGAATTTCCTCAAAGCGATATTTGTTCTTTCTTCCTAAAACTTCAAATACGTGTAAGTTCAATTTAACTTTGGAATTCTGTGTCTGTAATCTGTATGTGTTTATTTGCTTAAATTTAAAGAATTTTATCCGGTTATCTCGTAAATCATTTTAACAAATATTTAAATCGTTTTTGGTAAGTACATATTTATCGATTAGCCCACTTTAATGCACAATAAAAAATATTTTAAAATATTTTAAAATATTTTTTGATTGTTTCATTTTCTGAGGATCTTTTGTGTTGCTACTGACTACAAGAACCTGTACTCACTTGTACTCACATAACATCACGCTTTTTATCCCCGAAGGGGTAGGCAGAGGTGCACATTACGGCACTTAATGCCACAGTACAATGCAACACCCACTTTTCACTATTTATGTTATGAGTTCCATGTAATACTGGGTGAGTCTATAGTCATATACCGGGCACATTTCCAAACCCCATCCTATTATTGAGAATATTTAAAAAACCCATTAATACTTTGCCCGACCGGGGAATCGAAACCGACACCCCTTGCCCGGCAGTTGCAATTGCGGCCACTCGGCCAACGAGACGCTTTCTGAAGAAAGTTTGTGATATATCTTCGAACTTGATCTAAACAGTAAAGGCATTAAATTTAATAAATAGAAACTACCATTAATAAACTACGGATTGAAAAGATAAGAATCTGCCATCAAGTTTAGTTAACAAAATAATCTCACTGTAAAATATCAGCCGACTAAATCTCGTTTAAATACTAGATTTCTAAATAGGCACTAAATCATTGAAGTTTGTCTTCAATTATAATTTAAACCTATTTGTTATTATACCTTAGGAAAATTACTAAGGAAAGTTCGACTGGAATAAGGTTGAATAAGGCAGATAAATTTTTAAGTAAACAACATTGTATTTACCATGTGTTATGTATTGTATATGTACCTAAAATGTATTATTAATAAGCTGTTGTATGTTTTGTATAGTAACAACATATTTGCGTATCTTAATTATTATGTTATCGGCTTCATCACGTAACCATTTCGCGAGGAACTCGACTAGTTTCAAGCCATATTAGAGGCCCATTCAGCAGCATTCCGCGATAAGCGACGCAGTGACTGTCGCGCTGGTACTTTGTCGTATGCTTAGAGGTAATATCTTAGTTTAGAGTTATTATACCATTAAGCATGAGTCTAAATTGTTTTTATAATATCTACTGTGAGACATATTAAATTTACTAAAAATCGCGGGTTACTCCCGTGAAAATACTGAGAAAAGCTCTACTAGTTTCGAGCCATAGAAGAAGACTGTGCGACATCGCCGCGAACGCGCACGCTGCTCATGAGAAAGAGCCCCTGTGGCTCGAAACTAGTAGAGCTTTTCTCAATATTCTCACGTGAGAAAACCGCGATTTTTAGTTAATGAGTCTAGAATCTGAGAAATCGTTTTCTTCAAATTGTAGACTCATGCTACGGGTCGATATCCTTTTTTATAGTAACCAAATATCTAATGACCTTTCAGCTCATACATAACCAACTTCCCACGATTGTCAGAGAAGAAAAGCATTTGAAATCTCAAACAAACAAAGACACTAGTTTACAAGCAAAATAAATATATAAAATAGAAAGGCAATTAGAAACAGTGAATGTCACCAGCAGTACATACCGGAAATGAATCCCGTTCCGAATGACAGTACCAGCGTAGTGGCGAGGGCTGCCAACTGATATGCAGCTTGCATCGAACTCGATCTGCCGTCCTGTGTTGAAAAACAAAAACGTTTAGAAAGATATAGGTACATATAGTAAGGGTTTTGTTTTGTTTTTTTACATTACATAACATCACGCCTTTTATCCTCGAAGGGGTAGGCAGAGGTGCACATTATACCACTGTACAATGTAACACCCACTTTTCACTATTTATGTTATGAGTCCCATGTAATAGGGGGTGAGCCTATTGCCATATACCGGGCACAGTTCCAGACCCCGTGCTACTACTGAGACTTTTTTTAAAAACCCAGTAATACTTTGCCCGACCCGGGAATCGAACCCGAGACCTCTTACCACAGTCGCACTCGCGACTACTCGGCTAACGAGGCAATCCGTTCCAGCAACTCCGTATAAAAAATGTCTTACCGCAGCTCCTGCACTGAAGATATTGCTATACTCGGAGCCATACGTGTCGACAGTGGCGATAGCTGCGAAGAGAGCTGACAGTAGACCAGAATATACTCCAGGAGCGCCGTGCAGGTTGTGCACACCACATGTGTCTTGGATACCGATCTTCTCTAGCAATGGCTGTGTGAGAAAATACATTTATTAATATAGCAATTAAAGTATAATAGCCTGATTGGCAATTCTGCTTTCGAATTCGAACCGTTTGGGGTTGAAACTTTAGGGCCGTGGGGCCCAAGTGCACATCTTCTTTACAAAGATATTGTAAGGAGGATGATTGACACTTCAGGTGATCGAAGGGCTGGCTGGACCTTGGGCAAAGGTTAAGGTTATTGCCATTCAACGTGGCAATGCTGCCAGTCTTTTGGGCACCCTACCTCACGGTAGCGATGAGGAAAATGTTTTCTTTGATGCCTTTTGATTTATTTTCATTATTATTATTTTTTCCTTATTATTTTTTTAAGGTGTAAATATTTTAGTTTTAATTATTTATTTCAATAAGAAGTGTAAGATTAAATTCTATTAAAATATTAAAATAATAATCGTTAATTTCAAAAATAGATTTCTAAAGTGAAATAATCAGTAAGGGGAAGTTCCTTAACGCCGGACGGCACCTAACGCCGGACACTTGTCTCGATAACTGATAACACGAGTGTTTCAAGTTTTACTAAAAATCTTAGGTGTCTGCCACTGGGAGATTTCCTCCTAAAAATTGAATCGCTCGCGATCTTAGTTATCGAGATAATACAAGTGTCCGGCGTTAGGTACCGTTCGGCGTTGAGTGACTTCCCACTAACATTATTTATATCAAAACTTTTGTGAGCCATACTGAATTAGTTATTATATTTTTGATTAAACTGTCAAACACCAAGCGGTCACCGGTGACCGCAACCTATTGTTCTATAATTGTGTCTATAATAACGGTACTCGACGAGTTAATCCACGTAACTATATTATGACGAGGCACTCGACCAGCCTCTAGCATGGCTTGAAACTAGTCAAGTTCTTCGTCAAACCGTTAGGTGAGTAAACCGAAAACATAATAATTAATCATTGACATTATTTGTTAGCACTTAAAAGGAGATATTATTACAGTCAATGGATTCTGATTTACGCTCTATTTAAAAAATTGATAATTCTAGCGTAACGTCTTCATGGTGGCAATTTTTGAAGAGTCGAAACATCGTGATTTTTTTTTTCAAAACGTTATAGACTAGGATTTTCTCGTGTGTCCTGGGTGCGTTTACAAACAAACAAGTTACAAACAAGTAATTCTTAATTAATTAAAGTTATATTTAAAGAAACAATTTAGTTTCCTTTGCATCCTCTGGCTACAGCCTACGTAATTTACAAAATTACACCCAGACCCGAAACAACAATTTGTGGATCACACAAACAATTAATGCTCAGTGCGGGAAGCGAACTCGCTACACGATGCGCGGCAGCTAGTTGCCCAGCTAGCGCGCTAACCGTGCAGTCAAATTGAAATAAAATCCTTACTATATAATTATAATATTATAAATCTGAAAGTGAGTTTGTTTGTTTGTTTCACCTTCACGCCGTAACTACTAAACCGATTGCTTTGAATTTTTGCAGACGTAAAGTTAGAAGTCCGGATTAAATAATAGGGTACATTTTAAAAATTGATATTTCCGAGGAAAACCAAAAGTATATGGTATAGATGGCGCTGTGTGTATTGGTATATGTCACATAGGCTACTTTTTATTCTTTTGTGACGCGAGCGAAGCCGCGGGTAAAAGCTAGTGATAAATAAAAGTCACAGAATTCCGTTTTTAATTCTAAGTTTACACTACTTGTAACAAAAAATTTTAACATTCATCTGAGTCCATTTACGTTAAACAATAAAATTACCTTAAAATACAAATTTTAACATACCTACTACATTTTAATATTTTAATCTCATTTATGCCACCGTTTGATACAGGTTAACATTGCCGAGGGCACTAAACGGTACAAAAATATAATTACAAAAAAACGAAGTAAAGATATTTTAATTAGTACTTTTGTATTACTGGTGAGCATTACGTGGGACCTTGTTTAATGTACTAACGACCCTTTCAAATGTGAGAACGCTGGGGTCAAAAGGATGTAAGTACAACTGAACAGTACTAGGTTTTAAAAGGTGTAATACCTACCACATTATATTGTATTATTAAACTAGAGTTAATGGAAATGTGTGGGAGTGTCATGCTTCGGCACAATGGGCCTGCTCGACAGGAGTGATACTACGGCCTCACAGAAAACCGACGTGAAACAACGCTTGCGTTATGTTTCGTCGTGTGAGTGAGGTTACCGGAAGCTTAATTATCCCCCTCCCCTTCCCTAATCTCCCCAATCCCTTAATGCCCAACAATCCTTAAATTCATAATCCTCAAAAGGCTAATAACGCACTTGTACCGCCTCTCGTATTCCCGGTGTCCATGGGCGACGCCGTTGCTTACCATCAAGTGATCCGTCTGCTCGTTTATCAGCTTATTCAATATAAAAAAATAAAGCAGGACAGTTCTAGGATTAAAAGGTGAAATACCCACCACATTCTATTGTATTACTCAACTACAAGTAATGGAAAGTCGTGATGGCCCGGAGGTTTAAGACGCCCACTTCTCATGCATGAGGGTGCGGGTTTTTTTTTTTTTTTAATATTAAAGATTATTTCTCCACGGACTCTAGGTCCGTGCCCTTGTCATACAGTTTTTTAATTATAATACATCTAGTCAATTTTTATAAAGTAAAGAGGGAACCTAGTTACATACTACAATTAACTACATCTATAATTATTAGCAAAAGTATAGGTTACATAATAATTAGGTACTATTTATTTATTTCTATTTCAAAGGCTTTATGAAACCAGCCCACCAACAAGATAGGAGAGCCGACCTGACCCAGCAGAAGGCACCCGTTCACGAGTATGACGTGTGTGTCAGCAATTGGTCCGGTCAACCTTTTTATTGGGAACGGAACAACCCAACACACAGCGCCACCGACTGTAGGACATTTATGTGTGCATGACGCCTCAACCCTTGCCACATGGGCCGATTCCAATAAAGCGTACAATAGTCCAAAGTCAATTGGTCATATTCTATTTCTACATGTTTCTGCACACACATTTCCTCATGTTGCATTCGTTCCATCACAAGCAACACTCCCCGCCCAAGAGAGCACCCACGACTGCCGCGTCCCTGTGTTTGATGGCCATTTTCAGGTTGTAGTCCTTAATACCTTGCTCACCCTCATCAGCCGCCTTCCTGATTAGTTTGCTTATCGCGTCTTCACTGTTGTCTGTGTAATAGATGCAACCATGCGTGTGACGCGATATTGCTACTACCGCGTGTGGTACGCTGTCATGTATTTGATGTTTCTTTGTTGCTGTGTTGACAACAATCACATTCGCACACGAAAGTCCCTGTGCCTCGTGTATCGTGAGCACGCGTGATCCCACGGTCGACCCGTATCCCTGGTTCTTAAGGGATTCCTTCTCTGCCTGAGTGTGTACCAGGTATAAAGTGTCGGGGAGTGACTTTGGAATCATCGCCCCCGAGAACCTTTTTATCTCGAGGGATCTCACGAACGACCTGGACGAATATATGCCACTGTAAACTGTGCTGAGGGCATACGCCACATCCATTGGATTTCTGTGGGTACACATCAATTCCTGGCTTATGGGCGTGATATATGTAGGGCGGCTGTAGAGTAGAGGGAAGAGGTTATCACGATCTATAAACGGAAGCTGATTTATGTCACCAATTAGAAGGACTTCCTTGGCTCGAGTTATTCGGGCGGCCATCACAACGGCTCCAAAGTGGTTCATGAGAGCCTCATCTACCATTAGGCGATGGCAGCTCTCTCGCTCCCCCAAGCCGTTTACTAGGATGGACGCCATTGTTCGAACCCTAGATTTGACGAGTCCTCCGATTCGGCAGGATAGTTTGCCTCTGAGGTCATTTGCTGCTTCGGTTGTCGTGGTGACAATTAGATCTTTGCCCGCTTCAAATTGATCTACTATCCATGTCGTTTTTCCGCAACCAGGGACGCCATTTGTCCAGCGAAACGTCGGAGTATGCCAGTCTCCAAAAACTTCGCCGTCTGATCCAGAATCAGAAATGGATCTTGCCATCTCTAATATTCTATCGTCCAGCATAATTCTGGTGCATTTGGCAACCACTACTAGGGAATCCCCTGGAGGAGTTTTAAACTTTAACACTCCGCATCGATCGGATTCCCTCTCGTCCAGAGACACAAATCCGGCAGTTGCGTTATAAGCAGCCATACTTCGAGTTATAGAGGTTCCTCTCAGTACCCTCGAGGTGTTGTTGTCGTATATGACTGCTTCTGCTCCTTCGAGTCTATCGTTCAGTATTAGCTCGTTTCCTTGCAGGTAAGTCTGCAGAATGGATTCGCATTTCCGCATGTTGACTTGCCTGGTTGCCTCCACCACTGCGGTAAACTCGAGAAAAGCATTTACGACATGGTCTCTGGTAGTGGACGCTTGTCGAAGCCTCGGCGGACAAACGTGACCCATAGCTGCTCTTGTTGGTGATGACCTGGGGGGAGGAGATTGTATTTGTGCGCCTCCTGATCCTTGAGCAGATTTAACCACATTTTTTCTGAAGGGTGACGAAATCAGTCCGGTTACTGAGCATATGGCCGCTGTTATTGCCCACACTCTACCTCGTGATTCTAATTTTTTATTTTCCCTCTCGGTGTTTTGTTGGTGTTGTTGCAGAGCGCTTTGTTGCCTATATCTTTGTTGTAGACGCTCTGAGCCGCTTGGAGAATCCACCCTTAGCGCGTATCGAACTGGCTTTTTGAGGAAACTCAAGTCCTCACCCCTGTTCTCGTACACGATGACTTCATGATGTTTTGAAGCCCTGACGCATCCTATAAGGTCTGCCGTTCTTCCCTTCTCATAAGCTACTACGGCAGCGTCCACACTAATTATTCTGGGACTCATACCCTCGACCTCTCCCCGCCCACCCATGTCCGACAGCACACCGCAAGCTTGTTCAAAACAAGTCATTGAGTCGACGCTGGAGAACATTGCAATTGTTTTATTGCGTGTTCGCAGTAGTCGACAGCTCCGACCCAACAGTTGCATTTCTGGCAGCGCATCGTATGTTTTGCGCCGCATACTTGTCTTGGATGTGCTGCCATTCATTAGGGAGGCTAAGCCGGGTGAAATAGTAAGCCATTTGCTGTTCTTGCTTTCGCAGAAGGCTATCCCTAGCCTTTCGCTGCTGGTGTTCATGAACAGAGCTACACTTCGTAGCCGTATTCCTTTGGAGCCGCATTCTCCATGCAAGAGTATTTGCCTCTCATTGATGGTGTGCGGTTCAGTGGTACGGGCGATCTCGGATACTGCCATGGAAGTATTTGGTTGATTCTCCAAGTTGGCTATTCGATTTGTATTATTTAATGTGCTGTTTCTTTCAGCCGCCCTGTTGAAGATGGTTTCAATGTAGCTCAGAAAATGCGGTCTTTTGGTTTTATCAGCCAGAATGGCACTCAGATTTGAGGAATCCAGAGGGTGCGGGTTCGAAACCTACCAACGGCAAGTACCAATGTGACTTTTTCCGAGTTATATGTACATTCTAAGATTATTTAGACACCACTGACAAACGGTGAAGGAAAAACATCGTGAGGAAACCTGGACTTATAATTTATAATTATAAGTTTGAAATCGCCAACCCGCATTGAGCAAGCGTGGTGATTAATGCTCAAACCTTCTCTGCGAGAGAGGCTTTGCTCAGCAGTGGGCATTTATAGGCTGTTGATGAAGTAATGGAAATGGTTACTAGTAACAGTTTTCTTAAGTATCAACTTATTATGACACTTTGGTTAGACAAGTCCTTTGTTTTTCGTACAGAAAAGAAATGAGCATCGGTTAATAAGCTTATTCGAGAAGGATTATTATTAATATCAGAGCGATGTTTTATTATACCAACTAGCTGACCCGGCAAACTTCGCACTGCCTCAAAATTTCTATTTTTACCCGACTGATTTCTCACCTTTTAAACCTACACTGGACTTCCACGAACATTTCAAGACCAAAATTAGCCAAATCGGTTCAGCCGTTCTCGAGTTTTAGCGAGACTAACGAACTAAAATTCACTTTTTATTTATATCGATCGTTACGCGATTCTGATTTCAATCATTTCAAAAACTTAATTTCAAATTCAATTTCTTTTTCATAATTAACTCAAGCAGGCTTCGCACGGGTGTAATATGCATGCGTATTATACATAAATTACTCGAACTATTAAAAAAAAACGCAACGAAATCCGTCGAGTAGTTTTAAAGATCTAAGCCTACATAGGGACAGACTGACGGCGGATAGCGACTTTGTACTACATAACGTAACATCACTCCTTTTATCCCCGAAGGTGTAGGCAGAGGTGCACATCATGCCACTGTACAATGTAACACCCACTTTTCACTATTTATGTTACGAGTCCCATGTAATAGGGGGTGCGCCTATTGCCATATACCGGACACAATTCCAGACTCCGTGCTACTAGTGAGAATTATTTTAAAAATCCTGCAATTCTTTGCCCGACCCGGGAATCGAACCCGAGATCCCTTGTAGTCGCACTTGTGACCACTCGGCCGACGAGGCTTTGTACTATGTAGTGATACTAGAAAATGAACCTCTACAAGTCACCAATAAACCATTGTTGCCGAATATATTTCCTTTTGCTACTAAGACAGATAAATACTACACGTGTTCGGATTTCTATACAAAAATAAGATGAAATTATAAAAAGGTTCTCAATCTCAAGGCTATAAACGTTTGTCGTTAAGCGTGTAAAATATTATGAAATTAATAATATTATACGACAAATCTTTTACATAAAAGAACATTATAATACAAAGTCAATCTCTAAAGGGACGAATAAGTAATAAGGAAGGAATTTTGTATCGTGAGATTTTTAGTAAGTAGTTATTTATTATTTGAGTGAATTTTTAGATGAAACTTACCTCAACTATTGAGAAAAAATAAAAGCATCAACAGCAATCGAATTGAGACAATAGAAAAGTCAATAATTATACGGTTAGATTTAACATTGGGTATTTTTACATGAACCTTGTTGAAAGTCAGCATCAATCCTTCACTAGGAATATACTAAGGATACCATTTTATTATTACCAATCAATACAGCTAGGATATGAAACCATACAGGGTGTGAACGAAACGCTCCCGAAAAACACTGACGAGTGATAATAATAAACAAATTTTGTTTTAAATTAACTAAAAATCGCGGGTTACTCACGTGAATATACTGAGAAAAGCTCTACTAGCTTCGAACCACCGAGGGGTTCTTCTTCATGAGCAGCGTGCGTGTTCGCGGCGATGTCGCACAGCCTACTGGCTACGTGAGAACCCGCGATTTTTAATTAATTTAGTATGTCTCATGATAGTTATTATAAAAAGTTATGTTTTCAAAAAAAAAATTAAGGAATTGAAACGTTTCTTTTATGTAATAATAGTTGTAATCAACTGCTCAAGGCTGAAGTTGCATGCATGACATGAAAACAAAAACGAAAAAAAAAAATGTAAAAACTAGCTATTTTTATCAGTTTCGGGAGCGTTTCGTTCACACCATATATAGAAACGATAGGTAGGATATCAAAAAAGAGGAAGAGTATAAAAAATCGCGACACAGCTAAATCGACAAATAAATAATTCAATTGTTCAGAAGTTAGTAAATAACTTTAAATAGTTACTGTCCGGTAGATATCGGGCGTCCTCTGGGACCTTCAGATTTCAAAGAAGTTTGTTACAAAAATATTATCTGTTCTTACACTTGGACATTTTCACAAAACTTCTCTCTAATTTCGTCTCTAGATAGTCAAACTTTGTTCTTTCGTAGCCCTATCTCAGGATATATTAGAAATAGATGTGCCGAGTGAGTGGCAGGTTAGATGTTCGGTTGTCTAGGCTTCTCCTGAATATAAATATTTATGGCATTATTGTGCTTTTAGTTTAGAGCCTATCTATATTATCTTGTAATACCGTAAATAGTAAGGATAATATGTTATTATCGAATAAGTTGCTCGGTGTTATTTTACTTAATCTATAGCTTATCTATGAATCTATATCTATGTTGCTTCCATAATTCATAGATTTTTTTTTAAATATTATTTATTTATATACCTAGATTTATTCGGCAAATCATCAGATTTGAACTACAAAACTAATTTTTGGACATTGTTCTGTTTCTTTTTGTGTCAGTCTTTTTTGCTAACATAACTTTATTACTAAACATGAAGATAAACAGAAAATTCTAATAAACTCCTCCACAGATTATGTTACGTACTCTCTATAGATAAACTCAAAAACAAACTCAATGCACCGATGTTTAAGCAGTTTTTACCATAGCGCAGTGAAATGATTTTCGTGTAAAGTTTATAAGTTCCAGAAGGAAAACCAATAAAACCATTAGAACAAAAAACACTCACCGTCACAAACCTGTATCCCAACACGCTGATGACACCAGCACCAATACCAATAGCTATAGCGACTCCAGGCCCAATGAACAGGTTGGCGACAGCTCCCACTCCCACACCACCAGCAAGGGTGGAGTTCTGAATGTGCACCATGTCCAGCTTGCCTGGTTTGTGGCTCACCATTGCTGAGAGGACGAATGTTGTCACCTGATGATGAAAGAGGATTTAATATCATCTTCATGGTGAAATTAATACTAGATACTAAATTGTATATCTCTGTCTGAGTCTGTGTTTCCTAAATAGTTGTGTTCAACTCTCGAGTATTCACTCGAGAGAGAGAATAGGTAGGTTGCTTATGGGTAGGCGTGCTCTATCGTAGGGTGCACCATCGCTTGCCATCAGGTCAGATAGTGGCTAAACGTAGACGTTTGGGGTAGACCCCATTACCAATAAAAAAGTAAAAAAGTGTATTACATACTCAGCCTAACTTATAAGTACCACAAAATATCTCACCCAGAAATGTACATAAAATTAATAATATTAAAAATATATCACTATAATTTTTATTATTCTCTGAAAAAGTTGAGGCTTTTATAGTGTGGAATCTCCGTACCTATAATTTAGAGTTGTGGAGCCGAAATAAGTATCCAGTCGTACTTAATTTTACTCATACTTTGTGAACACATTTTCTTACCGTAGCTGCAGCTAAAGACAGGTAAGTGTTGACCACTGCTCGCTGAGCTTCGGCGTCAGTTTGCGCCAAACCGGAGTTGAACGATGGCCAGAAGATCCATAGGAATATTGAACCTGCGGAGTATATAACAATATTAATAATTTGTCTATTATTCATTAAATGTAGGGTAGGTATTGTAGACAGAGAATTGTTAGTTATTATGAAATGGCTCTTTATTCTTTAAAGCCAGTTCATCAGTTTCCAAAAATCTTAACATTCCTCCATAAGATGATACCGAAGTACCGAACTCGACCCCTATTCACAATATATGACTATTATTAATATTCTTAGACAACAAATTAAAAGAATGATATTAATTTACCAGCATTTTATACTTTTAATAAATACCTACAGCAATCAAACCAAATAACAACAAAACAATGCATAAAACGTGGAGCACTGATGAAGCGTAAACGTCAGGAACAATCTAGAAGTATCTAGGTCATTCCGTCACAGTGCTGGATAATGGAGCGAACGAAGGGGAGAACATTTTCAATAATATTAAAAGACACTCTCTACCTAAGCTGAACTGCGAACTGCATTTATGGCAGTTTAGAAACATAGTTTGAGTTATGAGCAATTTATGGATCTTTAGAATGAATTTTCTTTTATTCCATTTTTAAGAGTAAGTGTAACATGGTGGTGTTACGTAATTTCTCTGACTTTAGTAATAATAATAATATTCTTTATTGTACACCACATAAACACATAGGACAAACAACAATTAATATAGTGCACAATGGGCGGTCTTATCGCACAAGGCGATCTCTTACAGACAACCTTTGGATGGAGCTGTAATAGGAGTCAGATATGGGTCGTCTAGTGTACAAGTTAAAGACTTTAAAAAGAAAATAATAATATAATAATAATACCGTGTAAACCATAATATGTATAAATAATATATATATATAAACATATGTATATAGTTCTGTATTCTTATTCAGACTATGTCTAGGGCAAACCTACATTCTACTATTACTTACACGTATGTAGAGGTTGTAAGTCCCTACAGTGTTGTTTATTAGTTTATTTTGAAATGTTGAATGTTGTTTATGTTAAACTAACTTTTACTCGCGGTTTCGCTCGCGTCACAAAAGGATAAAAAGTAGCCTATATGACATATACCACATAATAGCGCCATCTATACCAATAATTTGGTTTCCCGGGATAAAAAGTACCCTATTATTTAATCCAGATTTCTTACTTTACATCTGCAAAAAGTCAAAGCAATCTGTTTAGTAGTTACGGCGTGAAAGCGGAACAAACAAACAAACAAACTCACTTTCCGATTTATAATATTAAAACTAATTAATACAGTAATGATGAGTAGATGACCAATCTCTTAGATAGTTTTATTGCTACTGAATTAAATTAATTAAGAAGTTTATAATGTTCAGAAATGCTGATCACGGTGATTTAATTATTCGCACGTATGACGACAAGAGTCAATGTACAGCGTAGCTCGTACAACGTATACGTATGTATGTGTTTCTGATAACTAATCCGACTAATATTATAAATGCGCAAGTCTGTGAGGATGTACATGTGTACGTGTGTGTGTGTGTGTTTGTTTCTCTCTCACGTATAAACGGCTGAAGGGATTCAAATGTAATTTGGAATAGAGGTAGATTAAAGTTTTAAATAACACATAGGCTATTTTTTAATGCAATGCCGCTGGGAAAAGCTAGTTTCTGATAATTTTGATAGCTTTATATGGGATAAGAAATGAACAAGCTGAAGGATTGTCTAATGGTAAGTGATCGGCACTGACCTTGGCCTTGGCATCACCAAAGGAGTTACAACTGCTTTATCTTTTCGGGTGTAACGTGCACCTCTGCCTACCCTTTTGGTGATAAAAAGCGTGATATTATGTATTATGTTATGGGGTGTAGCCTCCGGTATCTTTCTCGAAAGATAATTTAAATCATAACACATCCTGAACAACATAATATGCAAACCAACGTACCAAGCATAGCAGTAATATCGGAGATATAGGTGGGCCCATCGAGGCGCTCAGTACCGGCCGCGTCCGGTCCAGTGGGCTTCCTTAACCTAAATGCAGTGCTCACTCCCAGCCCGAAGTACGCACCATACGTGTGAATACCTATAGAGCCACCTATGTCTGTTACCTGGAAATAAAGGGTATATTGAAAGGTATCTGATACATTTAACATTGGTACATAATCCTTCCCGGGTATTTCTTTTTGTTGATAAAAATAGTGCCCAAGTTAGGACTCAAGACTCCCTTTTAGGCTATCCATCTGATTAATCACCAACCGTTTACCATTATAGACCTTATTTCCGATGTTTACTGACTACTTTTGTAGGCACAAATTTTGTGGAGTCTTCGTAAGATATATTTACGAAACTATGAGGCTGCATCAATTTTTTTATAATACATGCATATGTATATTATTATCAACTTTTCCCCTTACTGAAGCATATTGTCATATTGATATTTCTTGTACCCGAATTTTGGCAACGTATCGAAGCCTAAGAGGAACATCTAAAGGAACAACAACGTTGTCTCGGAATTATACTGGCCTGAAGGAGTTATAATTCGACGGCACATGTTTATTAGAAACGATTTTACAAACAATTAGCGTATCTCTAATATGTCACCCACGAGTAAGTAAACAAGCGTGGCCAACAAATTAAATACGACCAACGCCCATAAAACGTAATATGTAATTCCTATAAAAATAAGTAGTAATTTTTCAAATCGTTTACGTATTCTGATATAAAAATGACGCTAACATCTAGACCATCAGACATTTGCATGACACTGGAACGATATCAACATACTTTTTTTTATGGGATAAGCCGGTAAACGAGCAGGCGGATCACCTGATGGTAAGCAATCGGCGTCGCCCATAAAACTGGAATACCAGAGGCGTTACAAGTGCGTTACCGGCTTTTTAGGATTAGGATTTTGAGGATTGTTGGGGATTCAGGGATTGGGGAAGGGGGGGGGGGGTAATTGGGCATCCGGTAACCTCACTCACACGACGAAACACAACACAACGTTGTTTCACGTCGGTGTTCTGTGAGGCCGTGGTATCACTCCGGTCGAGCAGGCCCAGTCATGCTGAAGCATGGCTCTCCCACACTTAAAACTTCCACATATTAAGTCCCTGTTACTATCGGCAGTAGCCACAATCGTTCAAACAGGCGTTTTATAAAAAAAAAGCATTTAAGTTCAAGAAAAGAAGTAATCAAAATCGAATCTACATTTGAATTACAACCCTAAGAGGCCATAAAATGAGTTCAAGAATACTTAAAAAAAGAACTAGGTACTTTTCCATTATACAGCTAGTATAAGCAATACCAACCTTATAAACACTTTCCATTAGGTACAAATTTATGCAGCCAACTGCTGTTTCTATGATGGCTATGAACAATAGCTGGGTTCCGCTTGCAAGACCCAGTAAAGCTCCGAACGTGATGAGGACGGTCGCGGACATAATGTCAGCCTCTGTGGAATTAATTAAAAAGATGTTACGTAAACAGACATATTATTGAACTGTGCAGATATAAAATAGAATGCAAAGTTGTTATTGGTGTATAAATGTTTTCAGACTTGGGACTAATGAAAACATTTCTTTTTTATTATTAAAAAAACGTCGCCCCATATTAGGATTTTCTTCTGTGTCGTGGGTGCGTTTACAAATATACAAGTTCACATACACATGACACCCAGACCCGAAACAACAATTTATGGATTACACAAAGTTTTGTTCCGTGCGGGAATCGAACCCGCGACACGTTGCACGGCAGCCGGTTGCCCAGCCACCGCACCAACCGTGCAGCGCAATTTGAAATGGAACCGCGGATATATCCAGATTTTTTTGAAGAGCACAGCTTTTGTAATGGTCTATGAGAGAGGAATAGAAATATGAATGTTACTAAACAATGAAATTCACATTAAACTTCAAAATAGACACTTAATACAGCATACCATTTTAAAATAAACATTAACTATTTGTTTGACTCATTACTTCAATTAACGCCTTAATGTTCTCAATATTTCCTCCTAGTTAGTGTGAAACACTGTCGTTATTTCTAATTCCTGCTCATTCGTAATTAATTCTACGAAATCCTCATTTCTAGAGGTCAAGAAACTGAAAATCAACAGCGTCTAATTCAATCTCGGCAGCCTAAAGAAAATTCAGTTATATACAAAATTGTAATTGAATTTAAAACAATATCAAAACATTTGGGCGATGCTTTAAAAGCTTTTCTTTTGTGAAATGAAATAAAGAGGAAATTGAGCATTTAAAATTTTGCCTTTATTAAAATTGGAAGCAGGAACGTTATTGTTAGACACTGTAATATTGTTATTGTTTTTCAAGAACTTTAGGAACTAAATGAAACATCAAGTCTTTGGACTTAATTGCAAAATTATTTCGAAAAGACTACTTCAAGCAGAGGTACCTAATTATTTATAAGTTTTATGAAAATTTCGTATGTACATGTGATTTGTACGTAGAATTGTAAACACTTTAGCAAAAAAAACCTAGTACCTACGGGGCCACAATTTCAGATCTTTTAGTCTTCATACTAAAGTGTTTGTAAATATGTTTGTTTTATTATTACAATCGTTATTAAATATTATATCCTTGTACACCATGCACTTACTGTCGTTTACCCATCAAGTTTATAAAGACAACTTACCCAATAAACTTTTCTTCGTGATATGAATCATATTGTCCTTCATATGGAAGAAGGATTGGCAGAGCAGTGCCCACTGTATGACCAATGCTGCTAAAAACCAATTGTATCCAAGAGCAGAGTAGCAATACTTCTTAAGGAATGTCATGAGATATGCAAAGCCGATGAATATCATCACATGGGTGTCTTCAAAGCCTGAAACAAAAGAAAATCGATAGATTAGGCGAATTGTACCTTTATTGCAATGGAATAAGGCAGGTTGTTTGTTACAGTAATCAGAACGATGGAATAATTTAATGTGCGAGTATATACTCAAAAATAGTATTCGAAAACATCGTGAGGAAACCTGAGCTCATAATTTCTAATTGTAAGTTTAAAATCGCCAACCCACATTGAGCAAGCGTGATGATTAATGCTAAATTCTTCCCCTTGTGAGACGAGGACGCTATTTATGTTATGAGTCTCCTATAATAGGGGGTGAGCCTATTGCCATACACCGGTCACAAATCCAGTGTCCATGCTACTACTGAGAATTTTTGATAAAACCCAATAATATTTTGCCCGACCCGAGAATTGAACCCGAGACCCCTTGCCTGGCAGTCGCACTTGCTTGCACCAATGAGGCAGTCTGAAAGATGTATGTGTCGTAGGATAATTTAATACTTCGAATCTTCGCGGAAATCCTAGGGGTTTTGCGAAAACGCGGATAATTAGACATAGGCGAAAAATTATCAAATCTTACTGGACAAAGTCAGGATTTTTGCGAAAATACTCGTTACTATAGTAAGATTTGATGTGCTCAACACTGATTGGCTACAATTTTGCTGGCTGACTTCTAATTGGTTCCTAGTTTGCCGATGATTAACTTCAAGTATTGTATTATACAGATATGAAGGTTTAGAATAGGTGAGAAGGGAAAATCACTAAATTGATTTTATAAACTTTTTATTGAAAATTTTAGTATGTATGTTGTTTTCTACAGACAATAGGAGATCTCAGTCGTAGTGAAAAAAATTATCCAATTTTAGGGTGTAATCCATAAATTGGATGAAACTGGTCGTTTAAGACGACGAAAAATCATTTAAGACGTCAACCAATCAGAGACGATCTCTTATTGATCGCGCTGACCGACCAATCAGCGTTCTTATTTCATAACAGCCAGCGTTTCGTTTCGCAATCTTACTATAGTAATGAGTATTTTCACAAAAATCCTGACTTTGTCCAGTAAGATTTGATAATTTTTCGGCTATGTCTAATTATCCGCGTTTTCGCAAAACCCCTAGGATTTCCGCGAAGATTCGAAGTATCAAATTATCCTACGACATATGTACAAAATTAACCTTACAACATTTTATTTTATCAAAAACCAATGAAAGGGACGGAGAAGCAATGACCTAGACTTAGGTCCTATACGAACCAAAATGAACCTAAATCACTTGAACATAAGTCATAAAACTTTTCATTTTCATTCAAACACTATACTCGGAATTTTAATTCGATTCCAGATTTGACAACTTCAGTGTGGCAACGTTATGACAAGTACTAAATAGTGACGTTGCGAAATTATTCGATATGGAAATGCAATATTTCTGGATCGATTCTTCTCGTTTATAATAATTATAATTTTACTCTCGTGAACTATGTATACCAGGAAATTAAATATTTCTGAACCGATAATTTAGTTTTGACGATTAATTAACGATCTGAGATGTTTCTTTTACAATTGTGTGTGAAATAAATAAAAAAATATAATCATAAAGGAACATGACAAATAAAACAGATAGATGTATTATAGTAATAAGTTATTTTATAAATTGTCGCCGTCATCGCTATCGCTATCCTGTCACTTTCTGTAACATTAATTATAAAACACACACAATGATTGTTTATCGATTTTTGTGTGCATCACTACACTATTATATGTGGTATCATTATTTCACAAAATGACAGTAGCTGTTGTCAAATCTGGAATCTAATTAAAATTCTGACTATAGTAATAAAATGGTAAATAAACAAAATTTATGTCCAACCAACCTATTGAACTTTTTATGGGGATTTTTTAAACGTATCAAAATACACCCATTTTGAACTTCATCACGCATAAAGGGAACAATACAGGGACCCTTTATATCTCTTTTTATCTCTATGTACTGGTACAGGATGTGCGAATTTGGACATGATAATAATTAAAATTCTGATACTACTCATGAAAAAAATGCATTCCTTATCATATCATATATTAGCACAAGATGTCTAACTTTTTCCCAAAAGGTAAATATGGCATTACCCAAGTCAATAAATATTTTTAGTCTACTTGTTGGTCGGAGGGTCAAAGAATTCAATGCACTATCATCAGCTTAGAAAGTGAATTGAGGTCTTTTTTAAGGGGGAAATCATCGAATGACTGCTCTCGCCTTGGTGTGGCAGGAGGGAGTGTCAGACTCTTACTGACTAAAAACCACCCCGTTCCTTCTCCTGCACGTCGAGCCGGAGCCCCGGTTACCCGTTAGGTTCTCCGCGACATGCCTAAGTTTTTGATACTATGCAAAATTCTAAAGAAAAATATATCTAGAGGTAATTGCGTTCATTATACTTTTTGATGATTTACTTAAAAATAAGCATAAATTTATAGAATATTATTTTAAAATATTGCTAACGTATTTCGTTACAGCCTGTATTCATACCACAGCGGTAATTGTTAGAATGTCAAATGAAAAATTGCAAATAAAATTACACAATTCATTGTTTTCTGGCTCAAAATGTACCCCTCGAGGATAATGGGACTTAAAGCGGAATAAATAGAACGTGGGACGATTGTATATCTACTATTTATTGTTGTTTTTTTTACTTTCTTTCTTTTGTTTTATGATCTTTTTTGCTAATGTGGTGTAGGGGGTTGGGAACGTGGGTTGTTGAAAACGGGGTGAATTTTTTTTTAATGATATAATTTAACTAGTAATCGCCGGTTACTCACGTAAATATACTGAAAAAAGCTCTACTAGTTTCGAACTATGCGCGACATCGCTGTGATCGCGCACGCTGCTCATAAGGAAGAACCCCTCGGTGGTCCGAAACTAGTAGAGCTTTTTTCAGTATATTCACGAAATTAACCCGTGATTTTTAGTTAATTTAGTATGTCTCACGATAATTATTATGAAATAATTTGCTTCCTCAGATAAGGCCCAATAGGGCTGATGGCGATATGGAGCCGCGGAGGATTTAACAGGTTGGCGGTGCTCCGGCTCAAAGTGCAGGAGTAGAAACGGGGTAGTTTTTAGTCAGGAAGAGTCTGACACTCCTCTTGCTTCATTCGGGCGAGAGAAGACATTAAATGATTTTCTCCCGTCAATAAAAAAATCAATACTATTTGAAAATATGTTACTTAACAGATTTTGATATAAGTTGTATGAAACTTTTAATATCCTGACTTTTCATAAAATAAATCTGTCCGTTGCACGAAGTAACTTAACATTCTGAATAAGAATTATGTAGGTATATCTGTTAACCTTTTCTTTGTAAGTTGACCAAAAGTAGATGCGCAAATCATCAAGTACCTATGTTGACATCAAATATTCTTAGAAACAGACACTCACGGGTTATTGGCTGTAATAGCAAAATTGGGATAAGTTGTCCTACTTTCTTTTATACCCATACGTTTCTAATAATAGTAATAATATGTGTGATTACTCAAACTATATTCCAATTTAACCAATAAGGAGAATGAACTTACGTTCAAGAGAAGCATTTATTTATACTTTCTATGCTTAAAAGTTAAGATTTTTTTATCATCCCCCTGTGGCTGGTCGTCGATGATCTAGGTTACAATAATATATAGCAACCCATAACATCACGCCTTTTATCCCCGAAGGGGTAGGCAGGGGTACACACAGAAGGAACACCCACTTTTCACTGCTTATGCTATGAGTCCCATGTAATGGTATGTATAGCCATATCTAAGACTGCCTCGATGGCCAAGTGGTCGCAGGTGTGACTATCGGGCAAGGGGTCTCGGGTTCGATTCCAGGGTAGAACAAAGTATTAATGGGTTTTTTTAAAAAAAATCTCAGTAGTTAATTTTCCGAAGTCTGGAAATGTGCCCGGTATTTTATGGCAATAGGCTCACCCCTATAACAACCCCAAAGGTAGAAATTGTTGTTTCCTGCAATATACATCTCTATGTGTAGTTTTTGGAAATTAAAGCCTATGTTACGCTATGTACGTTCAAAATCAATTCACTTTAATCCCTTGAGAGTGGTGCACAAGCTTGAACTATTGCTAGTCAATATTGAGTGCACCCTGTACATACATACAGGATGCACTCGTACTCAGAATTTACACATATAGTTGTATCTATAGGTATTATGCAAAATGTTAGATGTAGGTATATACTCTCTCGGCTGACTGATGCATACTACACATATATTTTTTTATGGCATAAGCCGATAAACGAGCAGATGGATCACCTGATGGTAAGCAATCGGCGTCACCTATGGACACCTGGAACACCAGAGGCGTTACAAGTGCATTAGTGGCCGTTTGGGGATTAGGAGTTTGAGGATCGTTGGGGATTCAGGGATTGGGGAGATTGGAGAAGGGGAGGAGGGTAATCGGGCCTCCGGTAACCTCACCGGAAACACAACGCAAGCGTTGTTTTACTTCGGTTTTCTGCTCGGCCGTAGTATCACTCCGGTCGAGCCGGCTTATTCGTGCCGAAGCATGGCTCTCCCACACTTAAAAGTTTATACTGGTATTGCACATTTTGTGCACAACCAGTATAAACTGACCGTTGAATATGCGGAACGATTATACCAAGGGAGATCATGATAAACTAGTTTTAATAGGTTGATATGTGGCAGTATGTGTGTATGTGTATGACGTAACACTCGCACACAGTGCATAGTAGGGATTAGACCTACCCTTGAGCTCCACAATATTTAAAAACGGTTCGTTTAATTGTCTGTTTATTACTACAGGAATCTTTACAAAAAACTTAGTAGGTTTTAAAAGGTTTCTTCATTGGATAGGTAGATAGATTTTTATGATAGAATACTTAAATAAAAAAAGTAAGTAGTGTTAAAATAATTATCACTTACAACAGAATTGATTACAATACTACTGAGAATATTGGTTTCCTTACTATTGTTATCGCATCGCATCGCAATATTGGTATCGCATTACCTTAATTGTTTCCAAGA